CTCTCTCTCTCTCTCTCTCTCTCTCTCTCTCTCTCTCTCTCTCTCTCGTAGTCATTGCTTCCTCAGTTTGCCTGTCCATGAAACGGGTCTCTCGCTCCCCTGTCGCCCTTTCATCTCAAAGAAGCTGACTCTTCTCCAAAGGGCTTTCCCGGTGTCTTTTCCTCTGAATCCAGCGAGGCATGTTTTCTTACGCCACATCCGAGATGCTTTGCTTTCAGTCTGGCCCTTTTTTAGTCCTGTGGCCCAGCGATCCTGCAGTCATCGCTTGCTGCTGGGTGTGAAGTGGGAATGTGCACAGCTGAGGTCGCTGGGGGCCCCCCTCGAGAGGGATTCGGCCCAGTGAGCTCTGGAATCGATTACTATTGCAGTACTGTCTGCCTGGAGCCATCCTCAAAGACACTCCGACTGACCCAATATTATTCCCCACCCCGGCAAGTCGCTTTCTCGGGGTACTTGGAGGGTCCTCCTGGAAAAAGATGCTTCTTCAGAGAGATATTTTCCTTTGTACCAGTGAAGAACATCTGGCTCATCAGAGCAAAAATAAAAGATTAACTCCCCGGGGGATTGGTTGGATGCCTGAACAGATGGCCGCGTCCTAATCTGTGCTCACTCTCCCTTTTTGAAAGAGAAGAGACGGCATTTGCAGGCTCGCTCTCCTCCGCAAGCAAGCTTTGCACGTGCAAAGAGTGTGCAAACCCTGGTGGCGCAGCTGCGCCTGCTCCCGTCTCAGCAGAGCGATCGGCTGCTCGTATGGAAGGATCTGAGGGAATGAACCTGGCCGCCTCTTATTTTTCATCCTAGAGCTTTTAAGCAATAATCTGAACAAACACGATCCTTTCATTAGCAAATTGGTTCAAATACGGCCTTAATATGCACGTGGAAGTGTTAGCTCCCGCTCTGTCTCCAGGATGCCCTATTTTGCATCACGCCAAATTTACCTGTCAAGGTAAATATGCAGAGTTGACTTTGTGGAAGGAAATGGGAATGTGTAGAATTAGAGATCTATTTAGAAATGGAAAGCCAATTGAAATGGAATAGTAAGATGATAAAACTGCCCAGACAGGAACTGTCCTGGGCTGTTCGTGAAGATCAGGGCTCTCCTAAAAGTCCATGAATCCTGGCTTTTGAAAAGAGATGGGACAATGGCTCTCTCGAGGTGTACCAAGGAGCTGCACAGGTGTTGGTGGGGAAGGAAGGATGCCGGGAGACAACTGTGATTGTGGGGAGACACTGACGCACCCCCTCCTTGCCTTAGCCATCTTTGTATAGTCCTGGTTCCCCATCAGAACCGGGCCTCGCCTGGTGTCCAGTGTCCATGAGTCTCAAGATCGAGAGTTTCCTCTGAGAAACTTGCTGACTCAGTTGCTCTCAGGTCTTCTACAACGTCATCTCAATGTCCGGAGGCCCCTCAGCTGTTTGCTAAGATGCTCAGTGCCCCTTTTTGGTGTTTCGGTGAGTTTGAAGGAGGTGTTCTCCGGTGGGACTTCGGTCAGCTTGAAAGTGCTGTTCAGGACCAAATAGGCCTCACCAGAGTCAACTGCCTCAGATGGAAATTTCCAAGATGCGCCTTCTAAGATTCTTCACCCATTTGTTACGGACAAAACTTACTAATTTTGTCTAGTTCGATTGGCACAGATGTGATTACGGTAAACACCGGAAAATCTCTTTAATGTTAGGAAATGTACAGAGCCAGCTGCAGAAGAAGCTGGACGGGGTTTTGCCATTTCTTTACGGATCTCCTCATTGCAGAAGGGACATAAGCATCATAGTCTACCTAACCTTCTCTTTGTAAGATTCATAAGATACATACATCTCTTTCCTACTGTCCACTAATAGCGCTCTTTAACAAGCCTGCTAGTTGTCACTGGATCCAACAAAGAACCATCTGAATTCTTTCTTCCAGAAGACCCATTAGACATATACTTTTATTATGATTATGGCTACTGAATGGAAGTTGTGAGCGAGCGAGCGAGCAAACATACAGCTACCAACGCATCTGCAACCCTTTCAGACAATGATTTAGGATCCTTACTTGGATCACATTTTCATGGATAATCGGTGCTGAGGGCTGTTGGATCTCACGGTCTCTCCATGATCTCACGGGGGGTTTGAGGTTTCATGATAAGAAGGGCTTCCTTGTACTCAAAAGCCTAAGAACGCTGGCTTCGGCCATCCCTAAAGAAAGCACCATTACAAAAAGAAACCAGCACAAGCCAATCTCCGAGCCTTCCTGCATCGGGGAAGCAGAACTGCCGGCTTCAGATGGAAGTATCCGGAGACGACACTACTGTCCCACCCTGCGTTCTCGTGAGGGTTCCTTCGATAGCTAACACACCTGGCGTACTTTTGAAACACATAGTACTGCGTGTATGATTATGCGTAAGAAGCGGCAGAATATTATCTAAGCCGAGGAGCATCGCTGCTCCTGAGTTTCCAGCAGGGATATCGCTCAGATAATCTGGAGGTGACTGGAACCGAACTGGCTGGTGCATCGAAGGGGCCCACCACTTAGCAGCCCCTGCCCAGCTGTTTATTCCCGCCCTCCGGTAGGAGGAAGGTCTCGGCAATGGCTAATGAAAGAACTAGAAATTATGCATCGATGCAGCTAAATCTGATAATAAATAAATCTGATCAAATACCAAAACACAAGGTGGGGAAAAGAGCAAATTATGATCAAGTCTACATGCTCCAGTTAGGAGACTAGCGTCTGTGTTGTGTTGATTAAAATTGTTCAACACACCCCCATGATGGCAAATCAGAACCTCCAGGGGCAGCAACTCCACGGTCGAATTCGCACCTCCGTGCTGACCAGCTGTTCACCCACCACCATCCTGTGTGCTCCGAACGCCAGGCTGAAGCTCACCCAGATCCGGAACAGGCCCAGGGCCGGGAAGGACGTAGAAAAGAGTGGTCCCACAGCCGCCCTCCTATAGGGGCTGGATCCTTCCCGTCTCTTGAGCTGGAGCAGCAACTAGCAGCCCAACGGCCTGGCCAACCGCTCCCCCCTGGTATGTGCTGTCAGCCACGCAGGCCAGTGTGTCGCCGGACAGGTGGATGGCCGCACCGTCAGGGCTCCCCCTTGGGAAGGGCCACCTCATTTCATGTTGGGGCAGCAAAGAATGAGAGCGACCGCGCTGGCATGGGAGCGAGGTCACCTGTGAAATGCTTTGGGAATAAGAGCCCCGCGAACTGACCAAGACCCAAAGGGTGGAGGCCATGGCCTGAGTGGAAGGGAGGGGCTGGGCGAGGTTCCCAGCTTGGGCCCTTCGCCCTTTGCATGAGCAGGGGGTGATCTCTCGGGGGGGGGGGGCGAGGTTGCGTGCTCTTGTAAGCTGTGAAGGATCGGTCAAGATCCGCGTTGTGGGGGACTGCCTGATACTTTGGTGCTGGGGGCAAGAAGGGAAGGGTCTGGTGGCCTACTTGGCAGAGGACTGTCCTCTTGCCCAGTCCACTTTAAAGACCAAGAACCCGGAGAAGGGAGAGCAAGAGCAACCCGGAGGGCACCCGTGCCGAGCCCGGACAGCCCCTGGGTCAACTCTCCACACTACCGTGCAAGCATCTGCATTTTTATTTTAAATGGTTGTTTCTAAATCTGCATCTAAAAGATAGTGCATGTGAATGGCCTGGAAAGGTGCAAATGTGGGTTCTCTCTTATCCCCTTTGCGATACCAGAATCCGGTCTGGCAAAATCCCCTGCAGGATCACAGGAAACCCTCAGCTCCCTCTTCACAGGTAAGTGACCTCTATGACATTTGGCTCTTGGCTGCTGCTCCAAATGTTTGGGCCGGCAGCGTTGCTGTTCCTTTCCAGGGGCAGCGTGGACTGTGCAGGGCATTTTCGCTGGGAATCCAGCTTCTTCCACTCCGTGAGGTGCACCCCGTTGTCCAAGTCCTGGGGCATGGGCTCATGGCGGAGGGTGATTTGGACGGTTCGCAGCTGTGGACCATAATGCACGGCCAAGACGATGATAACAGCGAGGAAGACGAAAGCTGCCACGATGATGGAGACCACGGCAAGGCCATCTCCTTTCCCTTTCGTGGCAGAGCCTGGGGTGAAATCTGCGAAACCCTGGACTTCGTACTGCTTCAGGGGGTTGCTGGCAATGGAGAAATTCATCGCTGAAGGCCAGGGAGGAAGAGGATGGCCCTGTGAGGAAGAACGGTGGTTGAGAAATATAAAGGGGGAAGTACAAAGGAGTGGCAGACAGTGCAGTGTCTGTTCCCAGTTGAGAGCTGCTAAAAATTCTCCCCGAATTCTTCGAAGCTTTGACACTTCACAACTGCTTATTATCAAGGCCTTTTAGATCTGCTTGAGAGTCAAGGGGCAGCCACCGTCCCCTTTATCTCCTGATTGTATTTAGTTAGTTATGAAATGCTTTTATATACCATCCACCACAAGCATCTCAGGAGGGTTTATAATAAAAGCAAGACAAAATAAAGCAAAATAATGCACAGCCTCCAATTTCCAATAAATAAAGCCCAGCTTAAAACCAATTAAATATTAAAATTATGGGAACATAAAAAGGTTTTTGCCTGGGGCCGAAAAGAATAATGTGTCCTTGAGGGACGACTCTTTGGAAGGACCTCCTGCCCAGATCTTAATTGGTGGCTGGATATACATGGGAGCAGAGGGTCCTTTAGGAAGCCAAGCCCTAAGCCATGTAGGGTTTTATATGTCAGAACAAGCGCTTCAAATTTGACCTGGACTACAACGGGCATAAGAGGTAAGAATGCCTTCTTAAATGAACAGTGCAAAGAAATAGAAGAAAACAATAGAATAGGGAGGACCAGAGATCTCTTCAAGAAAATTGGAGATATGAAGGGAACATTTCATGCAAAGATGGGCATGATAAAAGACCAAAATGGCAGGGACCGAACTGAGGCAGAAGAGATTAAGAAGAGGTGGCAAGATTACACAGAAGAACTATTCAAGGAAGAGCTTAACGTCCCTGATAACCACGATGGGGTGGTCACTGACCTCGAGCCAGACATTCTGGAATGTGAAGTCAAATGGGCCTTAGGAAGTCTGAGCAACAACAAAGCTAGTGGAGGTGACAGTATTCCAGCTGAGCTATTCAAAATCCTAAAAGACGATGCAGTAAAAGTGCTACACTCCATATGCCAGCAAATTTGGAAAACTCGGAAGTGGCCACAGGATTGGAAAAGGTCAGTTTATATTCCAATTCCTAAGAAGGGCAATGCCAAAGAATGTTCAAACTATTGCACTCATTTCAGATGCTAGCAAAGTGATGCTCAAAATCCTACAGGCTAGGCTCCAGCAGTATGTGGACCGAGAACTACCAGAAGTACAGGCAGGATTTCAAAGAGGCAGAGGAACTAGAGATAAATGGCCAACATGTGCTGGATCATGGAGAAAGCTAGGGAGTTCCAGAAAAACATCTACTTCTGCTTCATTGACTATGCTAAAGCCTTTGATTGTGTGGTTCACAACAAATTGTGGCAAGTCCTTAAAGAAATGGGAGTCCCAGACCATCTTATTTATCTCTTGAGAAACCTGTATGCGGGTCAAGAAGCAACAGTGAGAACTGGGCACGGAACCACTGATTGGTTCAAAATTGAGAAAGGAGTTCGGCAAGGCTGTATACTGTCGCCCTGCCTGTTTAACTTCTATGCAGAGCACATCATGAGAAAGGCGGGGCTAGATGAATCAGCAGTTGGAATTAAGATTGCTGGGAGAAATATCAACAACCTCAGATATGCAGATGATACCACTCTCTTGGCAGAAAGTGAAGAGGAACTAAAGAGCCTCTTGATGTGAGTGAAGGAGGAGAGTGCAAAAGTTGGCTTGAAACTCAACATTAAGAAAATGAAGATCATGGCATCCAGTCCTCTCACTTCCTGGCAAATAGATGGGGAAGAAATGGAGGTAGTGACAGATTTTATTTTTCTGGGCTCCAAGATCACCGCAGATGGGGACTGCAGCCAAAAAATTAAAAGGCACTTGCTCCTGGGGAGGAAAGCTATGGCAAATCTAGACAGCATACTAAAAAGCAGAGACATCACCCTGCCAACAAAAGTGCGTATAGTCAAGGCTATGGTTTTCCCAGTTGCAATGCGTGGCTGTGAAAGTTGGACCATAAGGAAGGCTGAGCGCCAAAGGACTGAGGCCTTTGAATTGTGGTGCTGGAGGAGACTCCTGCAAGTCCCCTGGACCGCAAGGCGATCAAACCAGTCAGTCCTAGAGGAGATCAACCCCGACTGCCCTTTAGAAGGCCAGATCCTGAAGATGAAACTCAAATGCTTTGGCCACCTAATAAGAAGGAAGGACTGATGCTGGGAACAATAAATGGCAAAAGAAGAAGGGGACGGCAGAGGATGAGGTGGCTGGATGGAGTCACTGAAGCAGTCGGTGTGAGCTTGGGTGGACGCCGGGGATGGAGGAGGACAGGAAGGCCTGGAGGAGTGTTGTCCACGGGGTCGCGACGGGTCGGACATGACTTCGCGACTAACAACACAACAGGCATGAGAATGTCTCCCTGGATTCTAGATTCTAAATTAATTTTAGCTTCTTGGGCAATACTAGCTTATGAGTGAGTGATCCTCTACTCTCCATCTTATTGTATTATTTATTGAAAACTTTTCTGTATGCACATTTCTTCCAGGAATCTCGTGACAGTTTACAGAATTAAAATAAGAGAACGGTTTCTTTTCTCTTTTAATTTCCAGACTCGGGAGCAGAGAAAGCTGCCTTCTCAGAGATCAAACTGTCGGCACACCAAGCTCAGCCTCCTCAGCACCAACTGGTAGCTGTGCTCCAGGACCGGCGGTGTGTCTTCCTAGGCTGCTCACGGACGCTGGGGCTGCCCTGGAGCCTTCCTATGATCAAGGTGTGAGCACAGCCTGACCGTGTGAAGGCCCATGCAGAGCTGCCTTCCTCGTGGTTTACTGCCTGGATTTCCTACTAAAAGTTGTGAGCTGTATGAGCAGGCAAATAAAGGGGGATAGTTCCGAATTTCTCCTCATGTGGTAGCTCTCTTGGAATTTGGAATTCTGCATTTTCGGGTTCTGTTTTCGACTGGAACTGAGCCATTGGAGATTCTCCCTTGTTCCGGTTGCGTCTTTTGTATGCAGCCCACACAGGCGCGCTTGCTCGCCACAGCTTTTGATTTCTTTTGCTCCCTTGCAGCTCCCCCCACCGCACACCCAGATTCACACAGCTGGTGTGACTGTGAGCAGTTGTGTCTTGACGGAGCGCATCAAGACTCCTCCTCAGGTATGATTTTACCCTTGCCTTTGTCTACATAAAACATGGCAAAAAAGGGTGATTTAAGGCAGTGATACACACGATTGTGTCTTAGTTGGTTTTTGCTGGCCCGCATTTTTTTATCGATGCCCACGATGGTGTTGCTAACACAGAGCGTGGGAACGTGGGCTGAAGGAAGAGAGCGAGAGCGCCGCTCCGGGCGTGGACTGGCCGCAGGCACCCGTAGGAACCCTTTCCTGAAAAGGAGGAATGACGGGAACCTTTTCTGGCAACACCGGGGAGATCCGTGGCCATGTGGAGACCCACCGACGGGGCAGGGGAAGCCAGTCTCCCCCTCCCCCCACCAGGGCCGGGACCTTCTCCACGCCGCTGTGCGGACCCCTCAGGGCCGCGCCCACCAGGCACGGGCGGGGGGCTCTGTCGCGGGTTCCTGGAGAAGGACCAGCTCGACCTGGGAGGGGCTTCTGGGCACGGGGGCTACTGGCCGAGGCGAGGGGCACGGCCCCCCTGCAGGGCGCAGCCTGCCTGCGCGCTGGGCACCGCGGAGGAGCCGGGAGCCGGGCGAGCCCAGCGCCGCTCCGCAGCCGCGCCACCCCGCGGGCCGGGGACGCCAGCAGCGCCGAGGGCCACGGAGGGGGGGCGCGCACGGGGCGCGCAGGGCTTCCAGGCGCGCCTCTTCGCCTCCGCGCCCGCCGGGGCTTCTCGCCGGCCAAGCGGCCCCTGTGCCGGCGCCGAAGCCTCCCGGGCGCTCTCGCCCAAAGGGGAAAGGGAGCCAGCCGCCCGGGGAAGAGCGGGGCGCGCAACGCCATCCACACGCGCACGCTGCTGCGGCGGACGGCGAGCCTGGCGAGGGGCCGCGGCTGCTGCGGAAGGATGCCGCTGCGCACTCACCGTGGATCCGCGCCTGCTTTCCCGGGGACGGGTCGGGGAGGTCCGCGCGGCTCCTTGCGCCTCTGGAGCAGGAAAGCTGAAAGGTCAAGGAAAGAACGTGGGAACAGGTACCCGGGCAAAGCGGGCGCGCAGCGGGGAGGGGGGGCATCCCGTTTCCCCCACCCGCGGGGCTTCCCGCAAGGATTTTTCCGCGTCTCTGCAAACCTGGGGCTCTCCCAAGCCGGCGTCTCCTTCGACCTCTTGCGCGGTCTCTGGGGGCATCCAGCCGGGCGAGCGCAGATGCCGCGCAGGGGGGCCGTGCGCGGGAAGCGCGGAACCGGCAGCGCGCTCGCCCCAGAAAGAGGAATTGGCGAGTGCCACGCACGCACGCACGCTCTCCTGGGCTGCTTTTCGGAGCACTTCCTGCTCCCGGCGCCGCAGGTTGCTAGCCTTTAAAAAAAAACCTGCGGAAACATGCGCAGGTGTCATGCGTGGGGAGCAAACGGAGGGGCGGTGGCGCCCCTGCGGCCACAGGGCAGGTCCACCAAGCGGGCAAGTCCCGTTCGCACCCCGGTCGCTGAATTTTCATGTTTTTCCCAGCCGGAAAATAACGAGCCATTATTACAGGCAGTTTTGTTGGAAGGAAGGAAGGAGAGAAAGAAAACTGAAAGCAGCGCGGCGCGATCTCTCCTGCTGGGAAAGGGAGGCCCGGCTTGCGCTGTCCTGAGGATCCGATCCGGAGAGCGCATGCTGAAGAGCAACAGCGATGGCCCTGCAGGCAGGGTGGGGACAGAGCCGGGTCTGGGGTACCGGGTCGGGGGCCAGAGGAGGGGGCCGTCTTTGGTGCTTCAGGGGCTGTGGAAACCCGGGAGACTGTCCCGCTGCTGAAAAAGTACTTCCAGGCATGAGGATGACCCGCCCAAGAGCCAGGTTGCTCAAACGCCGCAGCCCCGTTTCCAGGCAATCCAAACTGGGGGTGTCTGTGCTCCTTTTGAGCCAGCAGTGATGCCATCCGCAGCCAACAGTCCTCGGATCGTGGCCTTCCCTCCCATATCTCTGCTGACCCGAACATGGAATTGGGGGTTTCTCCTGGAATGTGGAGACACCCTAGCCCAGGGGTCTCAGACTCAGCTGACCTGGGGGCCGCCGGAAGTAGAGTCTGGGTGAGGCTGGGCCGCAGCAAGTATCCCACCACCGCGGTGGTGGTGGGCCGCTCATCCTGCGGCCGGCCCAGGTGCCGCCGGCGCTTGGAAGGCCACAGGGCCCCTCCCCCGTGGCCCGCCCGTCCCGGCAATTGGCCCGCGGGCCGCGAGTTTGAGACCCCGTCCCACCCCACCTGATCGCTCACCTTGGGACTGGCTCCGGGGAAGATCGGCAGCGAACCTGCCCTGCAGACAAAGCCGCCCTTCGCTTGGGGCTGCACGGCTTAACGGAGAGCTGGTGCCATTTGATGACTGGCTGCAGTGGGATTTGCTTGCGTTTCAGTCAGAGCAAAGCCTTAATCTAGAAATGCGGAGATTAAGCCCCATCTGGGAAGGAAATGCCGATAACTTGGCATTTGGCAGATCACAGATGCTCCAGCGCTCTGGCGGGTTTTGACAGCCTTAGCAGTCACCAATGAAATTCAGAGAACGGATGTGAAACTCACCTCGCCGTCAAATTAGCGGGCACCGGGCACCGGTAAATTCCCGGGGAACCCTTTGCTGATGTTGGAAACGTATGTTGAAGATCGCAGATTGAAGTCCTGTACATGGCACCATAGACGGGCGTCCGCATTCCACAATGCATGCCACCAACCTTTTGTCGGTGCCATTTCTGTGTCTTATTCATTTATTTTATTAATCTGCCACTACTTTTATTTATTTTATTGGGTTTGATTTGATTTTCAGCCCCACTGCCCATTAGCTCCCTGGGCGGGTTACAGATATAAAGCCTTGTAAAATGTAAAAACATAGAAAGAAAGTGAGTCAGGAGGGGTCTCCGGGCCATCTAGTCTGACCCCCGGCTCCAGCCAGCTCCGCTCATGTAATCCCCAACATGTGGTTGTCCAGTCTTTCACTGATGGGGCCTCCACCACCTCCCTTGAAAGCCCATTCCATATCCAGGGGTCCTAACCATCAGGAAATACTTCCTGACATCCAGCCTGAAGCCTGGTTCCTTGTCCCCACTGGGACAAGTCCTGCCTTCCTCTGCAGGGGAGAACAGGGCTCTGCCCACCTCCGTGTGACACCCCCTCACATACCTGGATGTCGCCAACAGATCCCCTCTGGGTCTCCTCTTCTCCAGGCTGAAGAGACCCGGCTCCCTCAGTATCTCCCTCCCAACCCAGCTACCAGTCTTGTGACCCTGCACTGCACCAATTCGAACCTAAAATGTTTTTATCAAAACAAGATGAAACATTAAACATTACACATAATCAGATAGCAATAAAAAGCGCCTCTATCACATCTTAACCTAACAGAATCTATGATCCAAATTCACACCACATTCTGTATTAAATACAGACCATTGAAACCAAACTAGCAATTGAAATACCAGCGAAATAAAAAGGTCCTTGCCTGGTGCTAAGAAGGATATAAAGAGGGCAGCTCGCAAACCTCCCTGGGGAGCTCATTCCAAAGTCCAGAGGCCACTCCTGAAAAGGCCACGCTCCTTATTTCCTTATTTCTTCCAAGGAACCCACAGCAGCTCACAACACTGTTATTCTCACTTTCTCTCTTTGAGGTGGTTGTTGGGAGACCGGGACTGCTGGCCGCATCCCGGGGATTTTTGAGAGTGGAATGCAAAGCTACTTCCAGTGAGATCGGGCAGGATGGGCCAGGTCAGGATTCTGGGATGGAGGTGATTATCTCAAGGCCGGGCGCTTCGCTGAGCCAGGCAGTGCCTGGGAACGGCCAAGATGTACAGCCAGTGGGAGGGCCCTCTGGGGATGAGGGGTTCTCAGGTGCAGAACAGTCCCCCCCTCCTCTTGAACCTGTGGCGAGGTGTCAGCAGAGATGGAAGCCCAAAACATGGACAGGAGACAGGCCCACCTTCCGAAAGCTCCTCCCAAGGGGATGAAGTCCACACATGCTTGTAAGGAGCATTCCTGGAGGAAAACACTAGACTGGGCTCAAGCACTCTGTGCATGCTCAGAGGTCCCTTCTGGATGATTTCTACTTGAGAGCAATACATAATGTTTTGCGAGGAAAACAGCCTGTGGCTCTTAACAGCTCAAAGGAGGAACCTCAGTTCACAGCTTCGTGGCCAAATGGGGGCTGGAACCTGAACCTCCTGTGGTTCTAACCCCTTCAAGCACCCTAATGCTCTAACCACTGCACCACTCTCCTTGCGACTGGATTTTGCACTACTCTGGCATCATGTGCAGAGTGCAGATGAGCAGGTTCACCCACCCCAACCCAACTAGCTCAGATTGGTGAGTGGGATGATGGGATGTGTAGTTTTCGTGTGGCGGCATGTTGCTAGATAGCTACATTGGGTTCAAGCACTCTGTGCATGCTCAGAAACTTCTGGGGAGACTGTGCTTACTGGATGTACCTTAGAGATTAAGGAGTTTCTGTAAAGGAGTGGTCTGTCAGTCTGAACATGCGAAGGGGGAATCCTAGCTCCCAGCACTAAAGTGATGCACTTACATTGGTGAGGTTGCAAATATCTCATCTGAGTGCTGTTTTAACTGACGGTTTATGCAAATTTGGTGGTTTTCTGCTTGTAAAGCATGGTGGAGAATGAACGTGTCCTATTTTAGGTCTCTCTTAGGGTAACCCTCTTTCATACCTGGTATTCATTAGGATTTTTCTGCTGTTCAATTAACGTTGCCAAGAACCAGTAATTATAATAAATAACCAATGACGTGACTAGAGTACCCGCATGGCTGGAGTGTTGTTTAACATCCATATATTAATGTATGTCTAATATCCTGTTTTTCTCATTCCACCCACCCAGCAGCCTATTGGTTTCCCCCTTCAGAGCAGGACTACCAATAAAATTTCCGTACTCGGTTACTATTTTCACTATCTGCAGATTTCCCATCAGTCAGGTGTGGGGTCCCCCGACAGCAGCAATGCTCAGATGTCTTTTATGTCTGGTAAACTGTGCCTCACATCCTTGGGAGCTATAACGGGCACGAGAAGAATTCCACCCCGTCAGGCCTGTGTTGATCCAGTCCGCTTCCTTCCATTATTCAACAGGAAGCCCGGAGACAATCAGCGCATGTAGGCAAACCCTTGAGCCCAGCCGTTGTTTTCTCTGACCGCAGAATGAACAGAGCTGTGGGGAAGCGAGGAGCGGGGACTGCAGGCAGGATGGCAGCTTTAAAACTGCTGGTGCTTTTGTGGATATGCGACCGCGCTCTTCCGCAAGGTAAGGGAGCTGATCTGCCCTCCTGGGCTGCCCTCCTCAGCTGGGGGTCCTACCTTGCTCAGCACACGGACCTCTGGTAAGTGTGGCTAGGATTTTGCTCCATCAGGTCTTCTGGCCATCGAATGCAGCATCCGTTTGCCTCAGTCCCAGTTCCTGGCAAACATCTTCCGAATCAGACAAGCGCTTTCTCTCCCGGAGAAGCCCTGCCAGTCAGGGCACACAATACTGGCCTTGAAGCACCTACGTTGGACTCAGAAGAAATGCACCGAGAGATAAAGTACAGCAGGTCTCTGTATTCATGGAACTTGGTCTCTTTCCCCTTGACTGGCTGACTGCAAAGCTGGATGCAAAAAACTGCATGAACAGAATGTGGCTCTTGGCCATTGTGAATTTTGAAATGACTTTTGCAACAGGAGAATGGCTTTTTAAACAACTGAGTGATGATATTGTGTGCAGGTTTAATTATTTGTATAAGAAAACTGAATGGAGGTGCGCATTGAGACAAAGGGTGGCTAAATGTAAGATACGGCGAGCAACTGGCTTTTCAAATCATGTTTGTGAACATGCATTGCGCCAATACATTTTTATCGCATTAGCAATACTTCCTTTTTGCCATGGTCAGGATGTGCAGATACAGGTATTTTCCCAGATTCTAGATTGAAAAAAGTATTCTTGTCAAGGGTAAAGAAAATTAAACAAAACGCGAAAGGACAGAATTATTTTTTCGATAAGACAGTGTTCGGCTGTTCCGAAAGCAACCTTCTTTCGTTGAAATTATCTTTCGCGGCCATCAGAGCCAGAACAAGGGTTGTGCTTTGCAACCGTCATTCTGAGAGCTAAAACTTCGTACTGGTGAAAGGAATTGCGCTCCAAGTCCACATGGTATTTCAGTTCAAAGCATGGCTTCTGGAAATGACCATGCGTGAGCGCACGCACGTTTTGGGGGGCTTTTGGAGGGTAGGAATTAAAATACGACATTCAGGAATGCCAGCAAGAATGGCACGCAGGCCAGAACGGCGACTCTGCTGGGACGGATTGGAAGGCAGCTGCCCACAGCGCCAAAAGCTGCTGCTGCTGCAGTGGCGATGATTTGGGAAGGGCCAGTCTGGCTGGGAGAAAAGAGCGTGGAAAGTGTGCGGGGCAGAGCAAGCAGTCAGTCACTTTCGGGAAGGAGGAGTCACCCCACAACAGTGGAGGCTGGTGCGGCACTGCAAGAGGTTGGCCCAAAGGGTCAGGTATCGTGAGTGGTGGGGCAGGCAAGAGTCCCGGAGCATCCGTGGGAGGCTCAAGGGGGAAAGATGGGCTGGCAGGTGAACAGCCCCCGGTTTACTGGGCGTCCCTCGTATGGAAAAGCACCCACGGTGGTGTGCTGTGGGTTGTCAACTCACCCATTATGTGGGATGCAGCGAGCCCTTGGAAGGAAACATGGAGAACGCTCGGATCCAATGGCTTGATTTACTTTAGTCACTTTGCCTTTTAGGGAAAGGAACACTTCCTTATGGAAATATATGCTCCCAGGTGTAATATTTGTCACTTTTCTTGCAGGTTCTGAGCCCACGAAAAATGGAAGCCTCACATCTCCACCCATGACAGGTAGAACACACACCACTATGATATCATGACAGCGACATTATTTTAAAAATTGGCTCCTGTAGCTTATCCCGTAACAAAACCCCTGGTGTGATTCTGGAGTAGAAGAAACAGAATTAAAACGCTGCTTTTCTTCTTTGCAGAATCCAGTATTAGTTGGATTAGTTCCTTTCATCACTGTGAAGTGCAGTTCAGCATGATAAGGTCCCTCTCTGCAGATTGAGAGAGAGAGGCAGAGAGAGAGAGAGAGAGAGAGAGAGAGAGAGGAAACCAGAAACCCATTTTGGAGGGTTGTTCCAACACAGCTAAATTCACTGTGACCAAAAGCCTCCAGACCAGCCACTTCCACTTCCATCGGATGCTGGGTTTGCCATGACTCTTCTTCAGCTGCGTTTGCACGGAGGTGTGAACCCCAGCGGCTTCAAAAACAGGACATTGAATGGGGTCTGAGGGAAGAAGGGGAGAGGAGCCGAAACAGAGGAATGAGTCTGAAACGGGGAAGCATCAGAAAAATGTATTAATTTAGGCACTGGTTTAAGGCAGCTTGTGGCAGGTTAAAATGCATACTAATCAACACAGGTGACTATGACTCATGCACCTTCCTAGAGGTGAACTGATGGGAACAGGGAGGGCCCCCAGCGCGAAGGGCTTTGTAAAACGGTGTGGTTTGCAAACCCCCCAGCGTGTGAATGTGCTTTGGCTTTGTCTCCCCGCCTGTGGCTCAGCGACTGAGGTGCAGGGGATCAGCGTGGTTTTCTCCACCTCCGGCGTGGCGCTGCTCTCCTCCCTGCCCCTTCATGCCCTCCTCTTCCTCATTTGCCCAGGTCGCTCTCCGCTGGCGACCCCCACAGGCCAGCGTTGGGGGACGGGGCTCCCCACCACCGCTCCCCCTGCGGAAGACAAGTCTGCGCTCACGGTGGCAGCTTTGGGTAAGTGGGCAGCGGACGAGGAGCTGGTGTGGAGAAGGGACGGGTGGGCACGCGGCCACTGGCACGGGCTCCCCAAGCGACGGACGGCGCCTCTGGCTCCGTGCCGCGGGTTCTTTGTGCACCGCCATCCACTGGGTGGAAACACAACAGGATACAGGACTGGCGCGTGCCGCCGAAGCACCGGCCACACAGCCCGTGGCCCCTTGCCGTGGGGCTGGCCGGTGCCCCGACCCGCTTGCCGTGCCAACGAATTTGGCGTGGTCGCAGCACGGCGGTGGCCACTTCCCGTCTGCAGGTTGGCCAGCGAAATGTCTCCTCGGGCTTTTGCCATCGGGGCATTCCCAGCATCTCAAATTGGAGGGGACGTGTGTGTGTGTACACCACAACCACGCACGTGCACAACAGCCCCAGGGATATCGTGGGAGTGCGGCGTGAAGGGCCCTCAAATCCCTTGTCTTGCTCGTGTCTAAGAATCCAGAATTAGTGGAAATGGACGTCCCCCCACAAAACAAACCGTTCCACAAGCGCGGTGATGGGGGTGTGGAGCAGCCCCCCCAGAGCGCCCCCTTCCCTTCCCGTCTGCAGCACAACCGTCCAGCCAGGCGGTGACCGTGTGTTCCCCACATTGTGCAGGTGTGATCATCTTCATCGCCATCCTGCTGGCGGTTGTGATCGTCCTGGTCAGCGTGGTCAGCCTGCGGTTCAGATGCCGTCGCTGCAAGGAGGCGGAAGGTATTTGGCGGTGCTGCGCCCTGTCGCGACCCTCCCGGAGGAGCCCCTTTTCCTCCTCAGGATCACCTCGCGGTGGCCTGTCGCACCCCAGTCTCCTCTGCTTGTCTTCCGCAGCTCGCTGCTCCCACATTTTATATTTCTGCTCTTTCCTTTATTGCCACCATATTTGCTCTCTCAGATCTTATTCCAAACTTTCCTCCCTTCCTGTTTCCAGAACTTTTGTAATTTATGATCTCCTAAACTTGCTGGGGCATTCCCCCCCCCCCCCCCGCTGCTTTCTGCATTTTTTCACCCTTTCACTTCATTTGCTTCTGTCACGCCACACGCCCTTCTTTCTCAGGGCTTCACAAATTGCGGCATTTATTCCTCACTCACAGCCCTTTCACAGTGTCCTTCTTCTCCAGGGCTTCTCCTCTTTTCCAGCCATTTCACGGGGTTTTTAACATGTGAAAAGTCTGGGGAAAATTGTAAATCATAACCAACTGGACCAAAAACTGGTGTTTTACCACAGATAGATATCTGCGGCTTTACCTCCCAACCGGTTCCATGGCGGATGGTGCCAACTCATGGGTAACATAATAGGTTGCGCATCTGTAGCTTTAGCTGGGCTCTCCTCGTGCGGAGGGCCATTTATGCTACCGGGAGCACATTCTTTCTTTATCTCTGCCACTGTTTCCTCTTATTATCCGTTTCCTTTTACTACCGCTGTTCCCAGCATTAACAACCAGAAGGCCCTTGCACAGCTGCTCTGCCTTCTCTTCCCTGACGCAAGACAAAAGGCAGAAGCAGAGATGGGAAAACTCTGGAAGGTCGAGTGGACGATGCCTGCCATAAAATCCAGTGGAAAAAGAACGGCAATGGCTCCTCCTTTCAAAAGCCCATATTTATATCATTCATCCTTATTTTTATCACGATGAGAAAACAGATCTTTGCAACGGGTTTTTCCTGCTTCTTTATTTTTATGGATCCGATCATCTGCTGCATAACATTCCTTCAAGGAAGTTCCTGACCTCTCCAGCTCGCATTTGGCTTTTCCATTTGCCTTAGTTCTCCCTCCATTGCTGATCGGACCTCGTGTCTCGCTCAGCCTCGCCGTTCGCTGTGGCAGAACTCTGGGCCTGCTTTGGTCGTCCCGTTTGCTCAGTCTCTGTAGACCTCGTTGCCCTGCCGCTCCTCTCTCCCCAGGGGCTGGGCTGTTTTCCCCACTTGGGCTCTTCTGCCAGCTACCCAGGGAACTGCAAAGAGCGCCACTGATAGCTGCCAACTGATCTTTCCTTAAGCACTTGCTCCATAAGGGATGCGCTGTGACAAGTTCTTCCAAGCCGGCACCTTCCATACTGGCCATTGTTCCTGCTGGGAGAGAATTCCTTGGTTCAGGCTTTGCCTTCCAGATGTGCTAGACTATAACTCCCATCATCCACCCGCACGTCTATGCAAGTGCTCTCTTTACTTTGAAAAATGGGAAAACAGATCTGGAATTCCGCAAGGGAGGAAGGAAGCAGGCGTGGAGCATTGCCTCGCACGGAGCATAAGCCCAAGGCTGACGAAGGTGATGCTTGACTTCTTGATCTCGGAGAACATAAAGCATGGAGGGACCTAAACCTTTCACAGAAGTGGGTGTTTAACTAGGGATGATGGGATCTGGAGTGTAGGTCACCACCCAAAGCCCCCGCACAGAGAGAAATGCCCCTTTCCTTCAGTTCTGCATGTCCCCCACCTGCTGCTTCCACTTTCCTTATGGGCACAGCCTGACTGGCCGTGTTTCTGAGCTACCGGAGTTCTCGTCAGAGTTGTATGAATGAGCAGGGGGACACCCGGCGGGGGGCTGCACACGCCTTCTCGCAGCACGCTTCGGATGCCCTCAGCCTGGGCCAGAACTGCACAAATACCAGGAGTTATTTCTTTGGTTCCCCAAGGTAAATCGCAACCTGATTAGCTTCCTTCCTGAGGAAGTCTCTTTCGAGCCGTGAAGCTTGTTTTTCCACACACTCTGTTCTCTCTCAGGTACTCAGCTGCGTGGGATGTTTTTTATTTTCATTTCACGGTTTGTACTAGAGTGGAATGGAACATTTCCAGCCCGACCTTCCTGGCACAAAAGAGGAGCTTTAGGAAACCTGGCGTTTCTCCTGAAAGCACCTTCACATGGGGAGATGCCCACTCAGCAAGCAGATGAGTCACCAGAGAGTTTCGTGACATTGTGGAAGGCAAGCAGAGCGTGAGCACGCGCTGTGAACACGCTGAACGCCACACCTCTGGATCTGATCGGCCGTGCAAAGCCGCATGTCCCTCCAGGCGGAATCGCCTGTCCCCGCGACAGCTGACTGGGGTCCTCACCCGACTGTCCTGTTTCTGTGTGGCCTGGTCGCTGGAGCGTCAGGCTGGGGATCTGGGAGATTCGGGTTTGAGTCCCCCTCAGCTATGCCACTCGCTGTCCACCTAGCCTGCCTCACAGGGTTGTTGTTGTGAGAACAACATAAAATGTAAGAATGTAAGAATAATGGGAAAGGATGTTGTTGCTGTTGTTTAGTCACAAAGTCGTGTCCAACCCATCGCGACCCCATGGACGACATTCCTCCAGACCTTCCTGTCCTCCACCATCCCCCGGAGTCCACCCAAGCTCAGGCCGACGGCTTCAGTGACTCCATCCAGCCACCTCATCCTCTGCCGTCCCCTTCCTCTTTTGCCGTCAATTGTTCCAGCATCAGGCTCTTCTCCAGGGAGTCCTTCCTTCTCATTAGGTGGCCAAAGTATTTGAGTTTCATCTTCAGGATCTGGCCTTCTAAAGGGCAGTCAGGGTTGATCTCCTCTAGGACTGACTGGTTTGATCGCCCTGTGGTCCAGGGGACTCGCAGGAGTCTCCTCCAGCACCACAATTCAAAGGCCTCAATCCTTTGGCGCTCAGCCTTCCTTATGGTCCAGCTTTCACAGCCATACATTGCAACTGGGAAAACCATATCCTTGACTATACGCACTTTTGTTGGCAGGGTGATGTCTCTGCTTTTTAGTATGCTGTCTAGATTTGCCATAGCTTTCCTCCCCAGGAGCAAGCGCCTTTTAATTTCTTGGCTGCGGTGAACTTGGAGCCCAGGGAAATGCATGCCTCTAAAGATGGGTGAGGATTCTGAAAAGGCATGTTGGAAAGTGTGCCCCCCACCCCACCCCTGCTGCCCGCAGAGTGAAATCTAAATTTGAGAAGGGCCAGCCGCACACTTTCTCAAGCAAGCTGTTCACTGAACGGGGACTCATCTGGGGCCCCGCTGTTCCTTTGGGGTTCCCCACTCTTCTTCGCCATGCTTTCTGGAGGATTTTAGCCTGGTCTGAGCTGCGAAATTAACTGCATTTCTCTTTCACAAGGAGCTCAAAGGGTTTTGCCCTTAAAGGCATCCTCACATTTCAAAAAGCTACATAAAATTTACCCTGCATCTGTTTTCCAGTCCAGTTTGCATATATATTCACCAGTTAGGGCAAGATGAACAACATTAGGTTAATCTTATTTAGAATATGTGTGTGTTTTGCCTCCTAAGGAATAACTACAATATTTTTCTGTTCTCTGCAGATAAACAGAAACCTCAGCATCCAGTAATATCCTTTAGGTAAACCTCTTTTTTTAAACTGTCTGCTCCTTAAACATGACCAACTGTTCATTTGTGTTCTGTGGTGAGATGGGACAATGCGTCCTTCTTCCCTCCGTCGCTTCTGCCCACCTGCCCCTGGTTGATGTGTTGTTCCCAAGTACAGAGCTAAAATCTTTACTGGATAACTTTGCAGGTAAGGTGTGCGTGCATTTCTCACCTGTCCAGGTTGGCAGCCAAATTTCTCCCTTTCTCTCCACGTCGTGCAGCTATAGATATTGAAATTATTTTTCCCTTGAAAATGTGTGGCTTATGAACTTCCCTCGTCCTCACAGAAACTGGGGATGAAAACTTGACCCTCCTCTTCCTCCCTTCCCTTTGGGAAACTGACTTTCCCAGGACAAGCTGGAGCCGAGGGGGCCAACTGGAGCTGCGGCAACACCCTCCCGCTTTCCATCTTAAGACGAGACCAAAGGGAGACCCTCACTCGCTTCCCTTGCTTCTGTGTTTCTCATTTTTTTCCTGCTCGGTTTAGCCTCTTGCCTGATTAAAATTCTAGGCAACTCATAAGCTTTGCACTGTGTTTGAGAGGCTGCGAGTTGGCCCAGTAAAAAGTATTATCCTAATCCAGTTTTTGCATCTTTCCTTCGGCCAACTTTCCCCCCTTCCTTTTTATTTCTACAGCCGCAAAGGTCTAACTCATCCTACTAAGATTTATACAAAATAGATGTACTTTCTTACTCAGCTTCTTTCAGCCTTTTCAAACCATTCCTTTTCAAGGAAATTATTGCTTTACCTCCTGGGGGGTTTTGTTTTCCAAAACATTTTGAGTTCTTTAAGGGATGTTTTGACTTTTGCAGCTTTAAAGGCTTTTGATAGTCCCCCCCCCCCACATACAATTTTAGGTGTTAATGCCTGTAAAATACCAAGTCAGGTGCTTTGCAAGTGCAAAGAGGTGGGCAAGCCTTCCCTGTAGCCCAGCTGCTGAATCTCAGTATGGCCCCAGGACTTAGAAACTTAGAAACAGAGTGAGTCAGAAGGGGTCTCCCAGGCCATCTAGTCTGACCCCTGGCTCCAGCCGGCTCCGCTTACGGCAGGCCCACCATGTGCCTGTCCAGCCTCTCCTTGAACTCACGGCATTCGTTGGTTCTGAAATGTCATGAGCTTTTTTGAGAGGATGGGCCTCGAGATAGAGGGGAAAGGGGTTGCTCACCAACATTGTGCTAGTTCAGTTCCTCTTCCCTGGTGGAAAGAGGCAGCACGTTCAGCCCTGAAAGTCTTCCTAGCTGTTTGGTCACATAAAAATGAAAAAATATGGCTAAAGACCAATGAAGTGTATAGTGTATGCACTTTATGGTATGCCCCGTATGTCTCTTATTTACCCAGACACTGTATTCAGCCTCTGGGATCTTTGTCCAGGTGGCAGCCCCTGGAGAGGCTTGGAGAGGGGCGAGCGGAGGCAGGGCCTTTTTGGTGGTGGCCTACGTCTTTGGAACAGCCTCCTTGCTGCCGCCTGCCTGGCACCAAATTTGCCATCTTCCTGGCACCAGGTGAAGCAGAGGCCTTTAAACACCTCCCTGCCACTCAGAGTCCTGATGCAATTAGCCAGGTACCTTATCTATTTAGTTATACGTTTTTGAAACCGTCACTTACCGTAGTCTCTGGATGGTTTAACAATAAGACAAAATAGAATTAAACACAGCATCCTAGTCAAATTCTTAACCAATCAACAATACACTTGGTTGGGTCTTTCCCTAACTGACTTTAAGGTTCTTTTATGTTCTTTTAAATTCATTTTTAATTCCAGTGCTTTTATCTCTTGTATTTTATTGTTTGCATACTTGGTTGTAAACAGCCCGGAGAGCTTCAGCTAGAGGCAGTATGGAAATGAAATAATTACAGAACAATGATGATCAATAATATTTCTAAAACTGAATCCCAGCTTTGGTTCGAGCTTCTGAGCCAAACCTCCACCAATGGGCCAGAAGGATCAAGGGCCGTCTTACAATTGGAAACCGGGCAGGAAGCTCGAGCAGAATTCGTCCTGGCGTCTGTCATCCCCAGCAAGAAGCTGTAACTGGGAGTCAGATGCCATGGTGCCCGGCCTCTTTCCAAGCATCCGCAACTGCCATCCAGCCACAAGCTTTCGTATGAAAAAGCCAGACAAAGTACCCTCTTTTCTTACAGCTACTCAGATGCCGACACCGCAGCTAACAGGAAGAGCGTCTTGCTGCTGTCCATGAAGGAGTTAAGCGACAGCAACAGTGAGTGCAGGGGCAGGAACAGCCCGACGCGCCTGCTGGCTCCTGCTCAGGTCTTCGCGGGAGGGACCGGTCCCCCATCGCTTGAGCCAGCTGAGAGCATGGCCCTTGGCGAAGGCCCGAAGGCCCGCTCGCCCACCCTCGCGCCAGGCGGCAAACCCGCTGGGAGGCGGTTCAGGTCCTTCTGAAGGGTGTGCTTTGTGGCAGTCGAGGGAAGGTCGGTGGTGCCGTGGGGCGGACAGTCCAGAAGCTGCGCCTGCAGGAGTTATGGGGACCTGCTTCCTGGTATCCAAATGGAACCTGGCTTCCCTGAGCTTTGCTCTGTTGGAGCACGTCCTGCCTTCCTCTGCAGGGGAGAACAGGTCTCTACCCACCTCCGTGTGACACCCCCTCATATACCTGTATGTCGCCAACAGATCCCCTCTGAGTCTCCTCTTCTCCAGGCTGAAGAGACCCAGTTCCCTCAGTCTCGCCTCATCCCCTGCAAACCGGCCACCAACCTTGTGGCCCTACGCTGCACTGACTCCAACCTGGCTATATCCTTCCTGTAATGAGGGGCCCAAAGCTGAGCACAATACTCCAGTTGCAGGACCACCAGAGTCGTGTAGAGAGGCAGTAATACCTCTCTCGATCTGGAAGCCACACTTCTGGCTATGCACCCAAGGGTGGCGTTTGCCCTCTTGGCCACTGCATCCCACGACTGGCTCATGTTCAGCCTGCAGTTGACCAGCACCCCGAGGTCCCTCTCACAAGCGCTGCTCTCCAGCCACGTGTCCCCTCACCTGTACTCATGACCCCCATTCCTATGCCCCAAGTGCAAGACCTGGCACTTATCCACATTGAACGCCATTCTGCTGTCTCCTGCCCACTTCCATAGTCTGTCCAGGTCCTTTTGGATCTGGAGTACCTGCTTCTCAGTTGTGGCCACTGCTCCAGCTTTAGTATAATCTGCAAATTTGATCAGCAGACTGTTCACCCCTTCTTCCATGTTGTTGATGAAAAGATTAAACAGAATCGGCCCCAGGACAGAGCCCTGGGGGACCCCGCTTGTAACTCACCACCATCCCGATATTTCCTCGCTAATGGTTACCCTCTGCTTTTGGTAAATGATATTGATAGTACTGATTTCTACTCCCATATTGTTTGCTTTAAGCATTGGTCTAGATGTAGAGCCCCCAAAATGGAAAGATTTGCTCACCTTTACCGCTGAAATCTAGTAATGATTTTGTTTTGCTTGCTTTTCCAGGTATTGTGAAGGCAAAGGTTGCGGATGAAGAATGAGGAAACGCCACAGCATTGCAATGCTATTTGAGTCGTGGTGTGTGTGTGTCTGCGTGTGTGTGTGTGGGAAAACACAGTAATTTCTGCTTGTATCTGGGATGTAAAATAGGAATCTGGCTTGTGTTATTTCCTCTGGGCCACACAGTTCCCCATGGCCGAAGGCTCCAGGATCCCTCCCAGAGGTGGAGGTTACGGACCGGATTGCATGTCATAATAAACCCTGCCGCGGGTCAGCCACGACGGCTGCCTGTTCGCTCACCGAAGCGTCTTCTGAACGACACTCAGGAGTTCCGTGACTTTCTGCACCGAGGTCGGATGTTGCGGCAAGCCACAGCGAGGCGAGGAAGGCTCGCGACCCCCGCGGCCTGGTTGAGCGGGGCCAGTGACAGTTCCCGACCTGGGACTTGCTGAACGCATGTGCCCTTCCAACCCCGGTCTTCAGCTGGCCAGGACAATGAAGGGGCGTTCGGAGGCCGGCTTCCCCCTTTCTGCAGGACCCCATGGCGACCTCTCGCGAAGAGCTGGATGGTGGTGCCGAACGGGGAGAGCTCGGTGAAGGGAATGGGTTGCTGCTGGCCGCTCCTCCCAGCCCTGTTCTGTGTGCCCTCCTCTGGATCTAGCTTGAAATTCGCAATTTTTTAAAGCAGCACGGTTCTGGCTGACTTCATCCCTCCCCTGGCAGACTGCTGTTCAGCCCTGCTTCCTCCCGAGGAACAGAGAAGTCTATTTCCTGCACCACGCAGATCTTTTGTGGGGCTTGCATAGAGCGCGCTCCACCTGCTCATGGGGGCTGGAGAACAACGATCACCGCCCGAACAGGTGCGTCAGAGACGGGATTCACAATGGTACTTAGCGTTTCATCTTTTTCTTCTAAATCAAGTTATTCTGCCTGTTACATTCTGACCTGCCACAAATATGCAGCAGCCGCTGCCCCCAGTAACCTAATCTTGTCAGGTGAGATTTTTCCAGTTACATCTGCCAAGAGGAGTTCTGGGCTTGTTGTTGGCTTTGACTGTCCTGTGTGAGTCTGGATTCTTACCTCGCCTTTCAAGAAGGCTTGCCCAAGGGGCAGCTTAGCAAAGCTGTAAAGCCAAAACAGACTGAGATCTTCCTCATTCACAATATTTTGGCCTGGCTTCCCATCACCCCGTTTCAGCAGCAAAAGCAGGACAGGAGTCTTTTGTGATTACTAATGTATTCCGTCTTTCAACAAGAAAGGCATGATTTTAATATTACTTAACAATATGTTAAAAATTAGCCAAGTAGTCTTCAGTGTTAATACAGTTATACAATTTTACTGATTAAATATGCAAGCACTCTTGTTTGGTAAACTTCCTTCTGCAAATACTTTTCTTTACACAAGCTGGCTATAATTCAAGGATCAAACACAAATAGCATAACTTGTACATTCTTAACAGTAGATTGTGAAAAACGAAAGTAAATGTCTGCCCGGGAGAATTGATTTTCCCATGACGCTTTGTTCAGAGGAGTCTGTAAGAGCAGAGTTGGCTGGATCCATCGCTCTGCATGAAAGACAAATCACAGCAAAATGGCGAAGCCACGGCAGCCGAGGCAAATTAGGAGCGTTGTGTCAAGGCAGGTGCTTCGGATCTTCAGGGACAAGCTTCCCCCTCAAAACCGGAAACATGCTACTGTTCCAAGTCCGACAACTTCAGGCTACAGTCAAGTAAGTTCCATTCACAGACTTCAAATACGAAAACTAACAAATGTAGGGAGAAAGCAGCCATTTTGAAATCTTCCAGAATAATCTAGGGAAAGGCTAAATTCTCAGTGACGTTCCACACAGCGCTGCTAAGGCTGCTTCACGGCTGTGGCGGCTCTTGGCGCAGGGCAGCGCGTGCTCACGCAGGCACGCGCGTCGTCTACTGGGCGGCAAGTGTGGTTTTCTTCAAGCTAAAATTGGACCAGTTGATCGACAGCCGTTGCCTCGTCTGTCTGGCAGAATCCAAGCAAAACCTGCAGAAAACGTAGAAAAGAGCAATCCCATCACCATTTATTTTGATCTGTTCCCAACAGCTAACTTCCTAAAAACAAGCTATTTAAAATTAACTTATTAATGCTCAAATGCCTTTAACGCAACGTTAAGAAAATGAAATGCAGGCCTATTATCATTCTAGGTAGAGCAAAAAGATTTGACATAATTACTGATGCCTCTGAATAGTGTTCAAAGATATCCGTTATGCGAATGAACCTTCTGGCAAACTGCCATCACACCCATAACCGTCACACTGACATTTAAGGCTGGGCTGCATTTTAGAAGATTTTCCTTGCCCTGCAAAATTCTAAGGTGCGTTGCAAAAGCAAAAACTGCACCTCGGCAGCGCAACATGACACTCGGTCGCTTGGAAATAAGCCGCCCTCAGTGGAACGGAACTCCTGATTAGGATGCATGAAATTAGGAAGCCGCCCCGAGGCTCATGCGATGGGGCGGCATATGAGTTCTTTAAATAAATAAATAAAACTGCAGCCTTCGAAATGTTTTACAAAAAGTTGTGCTTGTTTATGACAGTTGAATCAATGTATCTAGTCAGTCATTTCCACTTAAGGAAAAAAGTGGTCCAATGACCTTAAGCCAGAAGAGAGAAAGGCCACTGTGAGTCTTTGCACCCAAAGCTTTCCCCACACTCACTCACTCACTTTATTTATTTATTTAAAGTTTTTATATGCCGTCCCCTTGCTATATAGCCTCGGGACGGCTCACAGAAATAAATACAAAACAAATAACAATTACAATTAAAACCCAGAAACACACTGACTGCACAATTAAAACCTATACATATTAAACATCATTAAAATATTGTTTGAATAAAAAGGTCTTGGCCTGGGATCTCCGCCATTCATTAAGTACTGCGGTTGCCTCCTGCACACAAGCTGAAACACCAAGGGCTCTTTAACGCATTCCTCGGCAAAAGCGACGACAGAGGTTTTGGCATCTTGGCCGGCCCACGTGTCAGCAAGAGAGCGGCCTCTGAATGGATTTCTTGCGGAGTTTCCTCAGCAGCAGCAGCCATGAATAACTGAGCCATGCTGGGGACGCCCTGGAGTTTGCTTTGACATGAGAATCTGGGAAGGGCAGGTGCTGGAGCGGCTGATTAAGTTGCCCAGAAACCACAGGCGGTTTTAGGGTTGCAGGTGGCTTGTCAACAACCCCAAGTGGTAGACCAGATTCACATGTAACCTGTTTTGCTCCAGATAGTTGATCTTGACATCAGGGTTCTCTTCCGTAAGTAGAAAGGAGCACTCTGGACAGGACCAGATGCCAATGCAAAGCGATTATTCTGGCTATAACAATGAGGTGGCGGCACATGGTGTTTGTTTACCTTTTAAAATACTCCACTTCCCGCTCCGTTGCATCCATTTCCACATTATCTAGGTCGACATCTTTGGGCAAAAATACATCATCTGCAAAAGCACACAGTATGAGCAAGATTAATTTCCGATAGCTCCTTTCTCTGGGAAACCAATGAAGATAGACGCGTGGAAGTAAAACGGGAGAGTAAATATTTCAACTGAATGAAGCCATGCATTCCGATTCTTCACTTTAAGAACTTTCATCGGCCTTTGATCTTAATGCCTGTGAGTTCTAAGTGGTGGGATTTTGCAAGGCAGAACCTCGCATACCTTGCACACAATCGCTATCACGGGAGGGCCCTGGTGGGGGGGGGGAGTGCAGCCCCTCCTCTCTCCCATTTTTAGGGCTGACTGGATAGTGCGCTGCACAAACCCAAGTCTCTGCTACCGCACAGGGAGTGGCAGAATCTGTCCTCCTAGCAGAGTACCCCTCACACGACGGCCTGAAATCCAAATATTCCTGGAGTCGGGTTATGTGCACTCATTCCCACTGAGGCTCAAACCTGGTTGGGGGACAGAAGCCACTTTTGGTTGGTCTGGCAGATGACTTGCACTGGAGGAGGAACGGGAACGGGGCCTTATTCGTCGTCCTCGACATCTCAGGGCCGTTCACTACCGGTGTCCTGAACTGCCTGCTTCCCACATTCCCTAACCAGGGAGCCCGCACTGCTCCTGGACAGGTGCTTGGAGGCCACGTTGGACAGAATGGGACCGTGGGAGCTGAAGCTAATCCAGAAGCGCAGAAGCGCCTTGGGTCGGGAACCCCGCAGGTGTGGATTGAAGGGTTCAGCTGGGTGGGGTGGGGTCACCCCCCCCCCGGAGGACCGTGTGCTTTGCCGGGGCCCTCCTGGAGATGCTGCTGACTGCAGAGGGGGCAGCCGTGCCTTTTGCCATCTTTGCCTGGAATGTGAGCCTATTCCGCTCCCATACAGCCTGAAGTGCCCGACTGTGTCTAATCTTGGGAGCCAAGCAGGATCGGGCCTGGTTAGAATCGGTATGTGATTCTACGTTTATTGCCGTAAACTGCCCAGAGAGCTTTGGCGATGGGCAGTGGAGAAATGCTCATCCTCATCTTCACCCTCTAGGGAAAGCCGTCCTGCTCCCAGCTGAGCGTGCCCTCATGCCAATGTGCCACAAACATGCGGGCACTTGTCTGGATTGCAGACACGGGAGGAGCGAGCGCCACGCCAGCCAGGGCAAGCCCTCCGCTTCGTGATGCTTTCTGAATGCGTGGGGGGGGGGGCGTCTCCTCGAGGAAGGGCGCTACGACGCCTCAGCCAGACAACGGCTCCCAGGCTGACGCGATCCATGAAGGATGCAAATGAGGACCCGGTCCTACCGTGGCCACAGCCGAAGAGAAGCAAGACACACACGCGTTCCAGCTGAAATTCGCCTCTGGGTGAACCGAACTGGGGCAGGGGGAGGAGGGAAGGCTTCAGGAAGGGGGCGCAAGCCGCATCAGCGGGGCAAGGTGGGCTCTCGCCTCGGGAGCACTGCAAAATGCAGAGCCTCCTGGACCCCGTGGGAGTGCCCGGGGGAAGAAATCCTACGGCGCAAGTGGCAGGGAGACCAAAGCTCCCGCTCATCTCTTTTCTGAGAGGCAAAGCTTTGACTGCCTTGAAGGGGGCCTTAGGAAAACCTCAGAAAAACCTGAACGTGAGGCTGGCTCAGCGTCCTCCGAGAACCTCCCAGCCAGAAAGGGAGGCTGGAGACAGACGCCGGAAGCGTCTTTACGGCCGAGAGGCCCAGCCCAGCCCAGCCCAGCCCAGCTGTGGGTCCCTGCTGGCATCCCCACAGCCTCTCGCTGCCCGCGTTTCCGTGCCAGAAGCATCCATCTTTGATCCAGGCGTTCACAACAGCAAACCGCTCCCAGTGTCGCGGGAGTCTCTACAGGGACGCCTGGACTGGACCGGCACTCCGTCCCTCCTTCCGGGAGCTTCTGTTTGGGGCAGCCTCTGTGGTTTTCCCTGCGGACGCCGCGCGATCGTTCGCATTCCCTTCTGCAGGCAAGCGCCTGACTGGTGGTCGGTCCCATGGCCAGCCCGGCCTGCAGGGGAGGGTGCAACTGGAAGACTGAAAGACCCTGCTTGCCTTTTAGGAGTGCTCAGCATGACCTGGCCTGGAGGGTAAGGTGTTGCATGAGGCAGCAGGAGCGGGGGAAGCTGGTGGGCCGGCCGGCCGGCGGCCTTTCCTTTCAGCACAGTGTGCCCTGAGGCGAGGGGCGCTGGAATGGGCGGGGGGGGGGAGCAAGGAAGAAGCAAAAAGGGTGCAGAACCCCGTGGTTTCAGGTACCGCTGCCCACCTCGTTGCTCCAAAGCCAGGCCAAGCCACGTTCTTTCCTCTTCTCTGGCTGAGAGGACAAAAGTGATCCACGGGGAGCACCAGGAATATGGGACCAAGGGCGTTGCTACCTGAGTCGCTCTTGCACACCAGGGCAAAGGAAAATGGGGAAGAGAGGGACTGTCGCCCGCTTCCTGGCTCAGAGGCAACTGGAGCTTAATCCTAGTCCAGAGGAGTTGGGAGGAGAGGGGTCAAGGAAAAGCAGGAAAAGGGGAAAGGAGAACCGCAGTTCACATTTGAGTCCCCGTGGCTGCTACGGGGCCTTGCTGGCAAGTGGGAATTCTCTCGGAGAAGAGCCAGCCGGCAAGCTGAGTGGGTGGGAGGGGACGCGGCTGCCCTTCCTCCACGCGTTGAAACCCGCTTATCGTCTCCATCGGCCGTGATCCTACGCTGGGTGTGCACAGAGCAGGTGCCAAGCAACCTCTCGCCGCTTCTCCCCCACCAAGCAGCCAGCCACCGAAGGATGGGGGCCGCTCCACCTGCCCACAGGCAGGCATATTTTCGAGAGTTTGTCCTTCCGCCCGGTGGTCCCAGGTGCGACCCAAAACCTCCACGTCCCCCAGCAAAGCCTGCTTCGGAATTTTACAGCCCTCTCCCACATTCCGCCTTAAGACTGACTGCGACTGCAACACAGTCAGGCTATTCCCCCCCCCTTTACCCCCTCCCCGCCCTGTTCAAACTGCTATTTGTAGCTTCCTGCCTGAGGAAGGAATATCTTGTGGATTTCAGAACCCTGCACACTGTTGGGAGCTCTGAGCTGGCCCAGTAACGATCCTGTTCTAATTGGAGTTGGGCTTTTTCTTGCTACGGAGCAGCAGAACTACCCGGAGGAACGCAACCTGCCCGTCAAAGACGGCTTACCAATGGACGAGTTCCCTTTGCCACTTTTCTTTTTCTTACTTTTCTTGCTCTTGCCTTTCGTCTGAGGGCAGTCTTGCAAGAACAGTGCATTATGCAGCTCTTCACTTGGAAAAAAGGAACCTCTCCGGAAAGGTGATTTTGTTACAGAATTCAGCTGTTTTGTTTTATGAGCGGTAAGTTTTTTCTCCTCTTTTCTGGAGACAGCAAATGACTGAAGTTCCGTCACTTGAGGTTTAGATTGCATTTTATTTTTTATATTAGGCTGAATATAAGTCATTTTAGAAGGCTTTTTCAACTGTTGAGCAAACAGCTTACTTATCTGCGTTATCTGCTGCTTGTTTTTATCTTCTGTTTGATGATGCATTATGTTAAGGAGCAAAGAAAGGGGCTCATGCGGCTTCTCCGGCTTGAAGAGCCCCTTTGAGTCTTTGCCGTCGGCAGGACTGGGCTGCTCGCAGAAGCCGTCAGAAGCTGGCCCCGGCTCCCCGTGGCTCGCGCGTTTTGCCGTGGAGTCCGGTGAGGCTTCTCTTTTGTCCAGCAGTTCCTTCTGGATGCTTCCTGGGGCGCCCGGGAAAGGCTCTCTCATTGCTTGACACTCCTGAGAATGCACTTGCGCAGTCTGGCAGCTCGTGCTCCCGCGCTCTTTCTTCTTTTTCTTCACGGCTCGGGACTCCCGCGGCTGCTGGGCAGCCTCCTCCTTCGGGCACGGCTGTTCCAGCAGCGGGTGCGTCTCCTGCTCTCTGGCATCTGCTTCAAGGTGGGCCTTTTCTTTTAACTGCAAAGACGACAGTTTGCCTTTTAAGAAACGGCCGTGATGGCACCAAAGCTACACTGAGGGGGGTCCAAACACGGGTTGCTGGGATGCGCTCCTTGGCTTTGGGCAGCACGCTGATCGACTGCCACAGTGCGCAACGGGTTTGCCACCTCACTCACTATGTCAGGTTCAGTCGATCACCGCTACCTGCCACGGCTTAAGAGCAAGGTGGGGTTTGAATATTTGTGCTTCGGCCTGCCATGCCACTGGGGCCTGGACCGCAAGGGTTCTGCTAGGCCTTTCGCTTACCCTCAGAACAGGTCGTGGGATATGGACAGGCCGTTTGACCCTCGCACCACCTCTGCAACCTCGATTTGGATGAACCGCCCTGCTGCGGCTTCACTACGTGTATTTGCATCTAACCGCATCTAACAGGCACTCTGTGCCTCTGTCTGGTGTTCATTAATTTCAGGCACACGTATCCAGCCACTCCCCGCAGGGCACATGGGTGCATCATGTCGGGAGTGGTGGGCATTTCCACCTTTTGAAACTTGAGAAGTAGGATAAGCAATTTTATCCTACTTTTGCTCAAGCGACCCGGAATAGAATCAAGAAGCAACATCATTCTAATTCAATGCTAAACTGATCTCTAAAAGAGTTAAGGATTTAAGGCCCAAAGGAAGGTTTGCTGTGCTGCAACTGAAAAAGAAAAAATAACGGCAAGGGAACGATCCCCCTTGGGGTGATCAGCCCTTCCATGTTCGCTGGCAGGGAGAGCAGGGCCCGGTCTCTGGACCCTTGCACCCGCGACATTAAGAGCGCACTCCCCACGTTTGCGTGGCTGCTTCCAGTCCAGGTACGGCTCACCCTCTTTTGCCTGTGCCTTGCTCTCTTGGCTGTCCGAGTGCTGCTCACAGGCTTTGCCTCAGGGCTGTTTATAAATTGCAACAGATCTTCTACTTTTCGATGATCGACAACATTTTCCTTATCGGAACTCAGCTCTGGTTTCCTGGGTTGCCCTTCTTTCCGCTTTGTTAAACGCAAACGAAGCTTTTCTCTCATTTCAGCATAATTTCGACTAGTTGGTGCTGCTGGTGGCTAATACAGAATATTAAAAATCAGTTATAGAACCACAAAATTTAAAAAATAGTCTAAAACAGATCTCTTGTACAATAACAAATTGGATTTGAAGCTCCAGATTAATTAATTATGCCAATCAGACCACTTCACCTTTAAAATGGCCCTTGTGATAACGTACTCATAACTGCAAAAATGGTTCATTAAAAATGGGAAACATCCAAGAATACCTGTAAGTAAAATTGGCAATTGGGCAAAAGACACAAATTATCCTAACAGAAACAGTGAGAGGCAGAAGGCTGCCCATGAATAAAATAACCATACGAAGAATAACTCAACCAAGTCCCAGGGCTTAAAAAACTCCTGCATGACAAGCAGCGTTACATAAATGGCAAGTGCTTGAGCTCCGTGTTGTGGTCAAAATGGTAAAGGTGGTACCAGCCTCTGTGAAACGGGAGGAATGGCCAGCCTTCCTCCTGATGGTGCAGCCGCATCATTCCAGCTGTTGCACAGCCCGACTGGGCAGCTGGGGGAGCCTGGCAGGGGAGCAACTCAGCACCCCAGGACAAGCTAGGAAGACCCCAACCCGCCCTCCCCTGCTCTAGGGCTTCTTGGCGGTGGGATTCTGCCAACTGCCGCCAAGCATCAAGTGAACGGGGGGGGGGAGGCGCTCCCCCCTCCACAGGGGTCCCGTCCCTCAGCAAACAGCAGAACGGAACTGAACATAAAATTGGTGTTAGATGGCTTACTCCTCCGTGGCCAAAGAATTCACAGTAGCAGCAGTCGCAGTATTTCCCTTCTTTCTGGCCGGTGGACGCCGAGGTGCAGGAGCTATGCCCCGAGCAGCTCCCTTCGTCCTGGCTGTCCTCGCCGTCGCCGTTTTGCTGGTCGCACAGACTGCTGCCCTCGCAGTCAGGGTCGCTGTATCAAAGGAGAAAACTTAGCTTTCAACCCATTCTAGACGGCAAAGGAAAAAGATCGGTTCTGGGCAGCATTTTTCAGATCTCAGGAAGCGGCTCTACCCTACAAAAGTTTATGCCATGGCCAGCCTTCTGGCCCGAAAGGTGCTGTCCCCCGGAACAAAAGGTCACCGATTATTACCAATGCATAGGCAGCATAATTTTAGTGATTCTTTGATTTTGGTGTAAGGAAATATGTATAAGTTAGACAAACCCTCCGAATAACAGACAGAATGTGGTGGACTCAACCCCTCCCTCTGGAACCTACTGTAGAGAGAGAGGAGAGGAGAGGAGAGGAGAGGAGAGGAGAGGAGAGGAGAGGAGAGGAAGCTTGTCCTCGGGAACAGAATCAGAATCTAGCTATGGAGAGCCAACCAAAATCCAGGCATAAAGGAAAAACAAACCAGCCTGGCACTCTATACAGACGTGCATACACCTCTACTTGGAAGGAATGTGGCAGGGATGTACTGTGCCTGCTTTGCTCTTTCTTCACGTTAAATAATCACGCCCCTACCATTAACAGTAACACCCAGGGATATACCAGTTGCTTCCAGTGCCAAGAATTTCTCCAGTGTTCCAGTACTGAGTGTTTCCAGCCTGATTTTTTTCACAACTTCTGGAACAGCCAACTCTTGCGATCTCGCCTGACACCTATTTTTACCTCACTGTGGCAAAGCATGGGCTTTCAGCGCTTGTAACCTATAGCCTGACGCTCATGGGTGTGGTAGTACAGTATGGCGTTTCAAGCTGACTATACGGCTAAGGACTGCCACCTCATATTTTAAAAATTGCAATCTGGGTGATGCCCAGTTCTGGAAGTAAATTCCACACATTGCAAGGTTTTGGCCAGTTCTTGCTCTGTTGGGAGAAGCGGTTCCAGAGAAGTGGGCAACTTAAGAAGGAGGGCGAGTCGGGTGGAGGCAGCGGGTTCATTTGCGCAAAGTAGTGGCAAGTCTTTCTCTTTCCATCACCGACACTTAAGTTTTGTGATTGAAGTCGGTTAGAAAAAGGCTCAGTGGCTTTCCACACCCTCCTCTGAATGAGTGTCTGTGCAATCAAACTCTCTGATCTGTTGATGTTACAGTGATTGGATTTAATGACTTTGTAATTTTGCTTCCTTAGAGGTTGAAATGCAGCGCAGAAAGAATCAATTAATGAAAAGTTTGGGTGGAAAGCAAGAAAAACTGTGCCTGACAAGCTCACATCTCCTTGTTGGAAAAAATGCATGGAATAATGATTATTTGTACAGCTTCAGGGTATTCAAGATATCCAGGAATGTACAGGATATTTAAGAAAATGTACCCAAACATGTTAGATCATTCGAAAATCCATATGAACCTATCTGAGCAGCAGTGCCAGAAGATCATTCAAGAGAGGCACAAAAGACCCAGGGAAAGGAAAACTCTAAGAAAAGCTAGACATGGAAGCTATAATAGCATAATCTGTTGCCTAAGCTATTTATTTGGAAAATGGTGACGGTTCTTAATTTAGCCTTACACAGTAAGCCAATCTCTAAACTGCTTTCTGCCTATCGCACCAGAAGCCATATTAACAAAAATGGGGGAGGGGGGAGAGCAAGAGGAAGGTTGGTGGTGATCAATAGGAAAAGGAGGAGGTGAAGAAAACTCTTGAAAAGGTGGCATAAAAGTCAAGCAAAGTCTTGGTTAGGATGACAAACAGGAGAAAGAGTGTTCCAGGTGAGCTTATCTGGCATGCAGAAGTCGCACAGGTGTATCCTAGGTAATCAACATGCCAAGACAGAATCATATTTCTGGTAGCGACCTTCACCCCTGATTTTAAATGCAGAACGAGAAGCCAGACAGAGTTAATGGCATGAATAGGCCCAAAAAGTACCATCTTGGAATAAAACTCTTTGTTGCAGCATGTGTTTATGTAATTAATTTAGTGGTTACGTTGGGTTTTTTTAGAGTGATTTTAAAGTCAAAAGTGAAGGCAAAGAAAATCTTACCTGCAAACACTTGATGGCGCACTAAGCACATCCTCTTTGGCTGCAGGTGATGTGACTGTTGTGGGACAAAGGCCTGGATGGGGATCCACAAAGCAGGGAGCGGTTGAGATCACTCTGGAGAAGGACGGTGCGTTGGGGCTTGGGAGATGAGCAGCAGACGGAGAAGAAAGCATCACAGAGGAAAGCGTCGAGAGCGGGGCTACACTGGTGGAATTTCTTTGCGACGCGGCTGACATAGGACATCTGTGATCCTTGGAACTGATATTGTGGAACATGTCACCTGAATACGGAAAAAGCCCCGTGACTCAGTTTTCTCAGTTAGAGTTAACAAGTTAACAGATACCTTCTTGCCAATCGCAGCCAGGAGGTTCAGGGGAGAGCAACAAGGATGCTCTGGGGACTGGGAACACGGTCCCATGAGGAGAGAGATTCAGCCCTGAGAAGAGAAGACGGGAGGAGACGGGAGCGCCTTCGCCAAGTCCTTGAAAGGCTGCCACAAAGGGGAAGGCCAGGATCTCTGTCTGATCATCCCAGAGTGCAGGACATGGAAATACGGGCCGCATCTGTACTAAGCTTGACGGAAGCAAGCAGGGCTATTCACACCTCCCGTTCCACACAGAAAAGTCAGCTTCTTGCAAATCTTACTGACTGCTCGTAACAAATAAAATAACATCAGTGCTGTTGATTCCCTTCCACACATGCCCAGGGACCACAGGATTGGTCCCCAGATCACCCTAGCAGCCAGCCATCAAATGGCACACGTCTCACCTGCAGGCCTCTTACCAGGAAAGCAGCAGCCAAGGCAAGGCGCATTCCATGACCACTGTCATTAGGGCACAGGTGCTGCACAGCTTGGCCTGATGACACGGCACCACGAGGAGGCCTTTTCGGCAGCCCCTCCGCCTTTGGAACTACCTTCCCCAGGGGACGGTCCTGGAGCTGCATCTGTTTGCTTTGCAATGCCAGCGGAAGGCACTAATGCCATGCCAGCGGAAGACACTTCCGAGAGCTAATCCTGTTCAATCTCTTTTGAAGGCTGAATTTCATCTGACCCGCTGGCTCTCCTGCTTTGCATGCCTTGAGGTTATGATGCAGCGGTGGCTTGAGAACTCCATGCAACCCACTTGGGAAAGGTGTGGACTAAGAGGAGGGTAATAAGGGAATCAAATGATACTTACCTGTTGAGGAAGATCTTTTAGATGAAACTTTAAACTGATTGCTGCTTGACTGCACTGTGGTGGCAGTACACGAGACCGAAGAGGTTGCCGAGGAAGTTGCCATAACCACTTTGTGAGGGTCCATAAAAGCGTCTTGAAAATGGTAGAGGCATTTTTTCTTTGAAGTATTTTCCTGCTTTTTGCTATCAGTTATTGTCATTTCTTCATTTCTAGATGTTACAGGAAGTACATTAGGTCCCAGTTCTGACAGAGCTGTGACCATATCACCCCCTTCAAATGAAAGAAAATAATCATAAACTAGTTAAATAGCATGTGTGCGTCATATAGAGATGTGCAGAAACAGACCTTCATGCTTTGTCGTCCCCGTGGTTCGTTTTCCAACCTAACATCTCTTTAGTAGTAGCAGAAACAACTCAACTCTTCCTACATCCTATCTTACGACAATTAGGAACTGCATCGTTAAGGACACGGCATCATACTGTTGGGCCTTGCTTGTTTTGTTCAACATTTGGCTTCAAGAATTCTGCAGCACTCAAAATCTTGCTCATAACTTTCTGGTACCTGAGTTGATGCTAATAAAGATATTCCTTTATTGTAGCTTTTGGATTTTTCCTGAGATTGACCCCTTTTTCTGGATCTAATTAGCGAGTTGTCAGAACTCTGGGTCTCCTTTAAAAGGAGGTTCTGACAGGGTAATAAAGACACCAAGGGAAGGGTAATAGATGTGTCCCAACTTTGTGCCCAGCAAAAAAGCACTTTTCGGGGATACCCAAAGTTCTGGCAATGTGCCAGCTAGACTGCTGCTAGCCGCCCTTTCGCAGCTTTCATGATCTATGGAGGGCAGGTTTGGATGTCTGGGGTAACTTGTGGGTAAAACAACCCACGGGTTGCCAGGGTGGCTTTTTGCTCTCAAGCAAGTCATCCTGCAAGAACCAGTCCAGGTTCACACAGGACTACAACCCACCAGAGCAACAACCTGCAATGGGTTGTGTGGCATCACTGCAATGCTACAATTCTGAATTTTATTTTGTGGCTGTAACCTGCCCAGGGAGCAGTATGGCTAATGGGGTGGATTAGACATCACATACATGAACGAACGGATGGGAACCAAGACAGTAAATCTGGTTCAGTCAAGAGCACAGGACTCTACCAAGATACAGTTCACTTTTCAGAGTGAAGCACGCGCATACCCTCACCGGGAAATGTGTCTTGTAAAAAGGTGGAGCCATTTCGGTCTTTCTCATGCATTACTTCTGACCCCCAAATACTTAGAAATTTAGAGCTCTTCTGGTCTGCAGGACTTCCAAAACCACTTGGGTAGAGATAATCTTGGAATGACGTGCTGAGGATGTGCTGATCGTTGGCGTGATTCTGAACCAATGCCTACAATGAAAGCATTTTCTGGTCAGCGTTCTGCTCACATGCCTTCCCACCCGTGCCAAATTCATGCGGTACGACGAGGGGAAAATGGAGAGGAGCACCCGCTGGCCAATATGCGCTTTGCGTCCAAAAGGGCTGGTCGGGCCTCTTCCCTCCACGGCACCTGCCATCTTCACCATTGGTAGCAGAGCTCTCCTCTGAAGGCAGTTGCCCCTGCCATGTGAGCCTGCCAGGGAGGGGCACCGCTAGCAACATCTGGCACTTCCCGCACTTCTGAAGGCAGATGCTCGGACCAGCTTACCTTGTTCTGTGCAAAGGGGGAAGCTGTGTATAAGGAGGGGTGGAGGAGCGGAGGCGGCACGTGAGGAACAGCGTGAGCAGGCCGTTGCCCGTGGATGTGCGGGTACAGGTGAAGAGCAGGGTGGGCAGGCTTTTCTGGGATTCCGTACTGATGCCCGGCAGGAAGAGATCGTACTTCGGGGCCCGGAGAAGAGGAGCCTGGGGCTTCCTGGCTGCAGGCATGGCACTCGCAACAAGCGGGTCCCAGATTAGCCTGCCAGAAACAGAGAGAGCAGCAACCACATCAGCACCGCAAAACTGGAAGAGCATAAAGACCTTTTTATTTAAGTGGCATTTTAAATGTTAATATTATTGAATTTTATCTGGCC